TTTTCCAGCACCGGCATTTCCTCAGTGGTATGATTTTTATTTCCCAGCAGCTGGCATGGACTCTCAATGTCTCACCCAATGGCCAGTGATGAGTCCTGATCTACTTAACAAGTTCATGCAAACCCAAGGGAAGGCTGGCCTGGGTTGTAAGTCCTGAAAGTTCATCCAGAGGTTCATGAGATAAGCATCCTCCTTCTATTCATCTTTTATGAGTTTCTCAGGTTGTCTTACTAAACACTCAGATGCAATCACATCATCTCTGTCTTGAAAAATTATGCAGAGAATAAAACCTAGGGTCCTTGTCTCTCTCTAACCTCACCTTGCCCACATGATTCCCAGCTTGGGCCATATCAGTAACCGCTCCTCGCCCACCCCCGGCCCGCCCTTGCCCCGAGACCTAAAATATGCTATCCTACCTCCTGCAATATTTTCCTTTTTTAAAATTCCTGCTTGCCATCTCCTCACATTTTCCCAGAAAACTATGGCTCTTTCCCATCTACCTGGAATGTCCACCATCTCTGTGGCCTTTTCTTTTCTTTCCTTTTCTGTTCTTTCTTTGTTCCTTTCTTTCTTTCTTTCTTTCTTCCTTCCTTCCTTCTTTCCTTTCTTTCTTTCTTTTTCTTTCTTTCTTTCTTTCTTTCTTTTTCTTTCTTTCTTTCTTTCTCTTTCTTTCTTTCTTTCTTTCTTTCTTTCTTTCTTTCTTTCTTTCTTTCTTTCTTTCTTTCTTTCTTTCTTTCTTTCTTTCCCAGTCCTGGAGCTTGAACTCAGGGCCTGGGCATTATCCCTGAGCTTCCTTTGCTCAAGGCTAGCACACTACCACATGAGCCACAGAGCCATTTCTGGCCTTTTCTGTTTGTGTGATACTGAGGAATCAAACCTAGGGTTTCATGCATTTTACTCAAGCACTTTACAACTAAGCCCCATCCCCAGCCCTCTGTGGCCTTTCAATACCCACCCTACCCACACCTCTACCCCTCTTCCCATCGTACCTACTTTTCTCCACTCAGCATTGTCTCTCAGATATGATCAGCAGAAAATTTTGCAAAGTCTTTCTTTCTTTCTTTCTTTCTTTCTTTCTTTCTTTCTCTCTCTCTCTTTCTTTCTTTCTTTCTTTCCTTCTTTCTTTCTTTCCTTCCTTCCTTCTTTCTTTCTTTCTTTCTTCGTTTTTAGTACCGGTCCTGGATGCTGTCCCTGAGCTTCTCTGCTCAAGGCTAGTGCCCTACCACTTGAACTGCGCTCCACTTCTGGCTTTTTGGTGCTTAGAGATAAGAATCTCATGAACTTTCTTGTCAGAGCTGGCTTCAAAATTCAATCCTCAGATCTCAGCCTCCTGAGTAGATAGGATTACATGTGTGAGCCACTGGCACCAAACTGAAGAATCCTTTTTTTGGGGGAGGAGGGGGTGTGCCAGTCCTGGGGCTTGGACTCAAAGCTTATGCAATGTCCCTAAACTTTTTTTTTTGGTCTTGGAGCTTGAACTCTGGCCTTGGGCGCTGTCCCTGTGCTCTTCAGTGCAAGGTAAGCGCCTTACCGCTTGAGCCACAGCACGACTTCCAGTTTCTATTGGTTTATTGGACATAAGAGTCTCACGGACTTTCATGCCCGGGCTGGCTTTGCACTGCAGATCTCAGCCTCCTGAGTAGCTAGGATTGCAGGCATGAGCCACCGATACCCAGCTTCCCTAAGCTTTTGTATACAAGACTATCACTTTACCACTTGGAACCACAACTCCACTTTCAGCTTTTTGGTGGTTAATTGGAGATGTCTTACAGATCTTTCTGCCTATGCTGGCTTCGAACCGTGAGCCTCAGATCTCAGCCTCCTGACTAGCTAGGATTACAGGCATGAGCCACCAGCACCCACTTGCAGAGTCCTTTCTGTACTTTGAAGGGATGATGAAAGGGAAGGGAGAAGCAACTGTAGCCTGAAACTCTGTAGAACTCTGGTTTGGTAGATTGCTGTCCCACTGCTGTGAGGAGGAACTTCACAACAATGCTGACTGGTTGGATTATGAAGTGCTAACTTTAGCATTGGGATTTGGGGCTATATATTTGGGAAAAAGTAAATTGTGATAAAAAATATATATGTAATGTAAAACTTACCATTTTGGTTCTTAAGTTTCCAGTTCTTTAGTGTTGTTGCAAGGGCATCTCCAAAACATTCCATCTTCCCAAAGGACACTCTGTACCCACTAAACACTGATTCTGCATCCCCCTTCTCCATGAATTTGACAACTCTAAAGTAGGACCATACAACAGTTATGTTTGTGGCTCCTCATTTCATTTACCCTAAGTTATTCAAGGCTGATAAGCCTTGAATATGGTAACATGTGTCTGAATATCCTTCCTACTTTACATCTGAGAAATATTTCATGTACATACCTCATTTTGTACACTCATTTGTCATTGGACATAAGATGCTTTGATATTTTTGATTCTGTGCATGCGCACTTGCACGTGTGTGTATATGCACTCACACATACAAAAAAAACACATATATAGGGGCTGGAAGGTGGCTCAGTGGTAGAGTGCTTGCCTCACATGCATGAGGCCCTGGGTTCGATTCCTCAGCATCACATAAGCAGAAAAACCTGGAAGTGGAGCTGTAGCTCAAGTGGTAGAGCACTAGCCTTGAGCTGAAGAGCTGAGGGACAGTGCCCAGGCCTAGAGTTCAGGCCCCATGACCAACCAACAAAAAAAAAAGCACCCCCCCACACAAAAAAACACATACATATACATATGCATGCTGGCCTAAGGCTTGAACTCAGTGTCTGGGTGCTGTCTCCGAGCTTTTCTGCTCAAAGCTAGCACCTACCACTTGAACTACACCTCAAGGGGCTTGAACTCTGGGCCTGGGCGCTGTCCCTCAGCTCTTCAGCTCAAGGCAAGCGCTCTACCACTTGAGCTACAGCGCCACTTGTGGTTTTCTGGTGGTTTATTGGAGATAGGAGTCTCACAGTCTCTCCTGCCCGGGCTGGCTTTGAACCGCGATCCTCAGATCTCAGCCTCCTGAGTAGCTAGGATTACAAGCGTGAGCCACCAGCGCCCGGCAACTTCTGTTTTTTTTTGTTGTTGTTGTTGTTGTTTGTTTTTGGTTTTATTGACAGTACTGGTGATGGTGGTAGCTGTGGTGGTGGTTTCGATGCCTAATTGGAGATAAGAGTCTCATGGAGTTTCCTGCCTATGTTGGCTTCAAACTATGATTGTTGGATCTCAGCTTCTCAAGTAGCTAGGATTACAGGCATGAACTACTGGTGCAGAGCTCACAGTTTGACTCTTGACAGCAGTGCGGCTCTGGACTGTTTACAAATAATTCTAAGACTTGAAACTTCTTTAGTCTATATACCCAGAAGTAAAATTACTGAGCCATATGTTAATGCTATGTTTAATTTTCTTAGAAACTGTCATATAATTTTCTACAAGGCTCTATCATTTTATATTCCCAGTGACCATATATAAGGGCTCCAATTTCCCCATACCAAAATATTTCACCAAATACTTGTTGCTTTCTTCCTCCTTCTCTTCTTTCTTCCTCTCCTATTCTACTTCCTCTTCTCCTTCTTCTCTTCCCCCTCTTCTTCTTCCTCCTCCTTTTTTTTTATTTTATAGCCTTCCTAGTAGGTGTGAAGTGTTAGCTTATTGCTAATTTGAGCAAATTCAGTTTTGAGCCTTTGCATTCACTGTCTTAATTCCCCATAATAAGCCCAGCCTCACTTCACAGCCTGATTTCTAGTTCTTACAAGGGAAAGTTGCCCCAGAGGGACACCGCAAACATATCGAGTCGTCTGTTGCACTTCTCAATACTGGCCAGCAGGGGACACTCCCTTAGGCTGAGACAGCAAAGCACTGCTCTCTCAGGCCAAAGCAGGGTCTAGATCACCAGCAAAGGAGTTTTATTGTTCCCTGGTCCTCTTCTCCCTTGTCTTGTGTTCATAAAGTCAGCATCAGAGAAAAGCAAACAACCAGGCCATAGCAGTATTTCTCAAAGGAGATGTTACTGGCATTCCAGTGGACAATCCATTATGTAAAACAAACACATTGCAGTTTTTAGCATCCTAGACCCTTGCTTGCTGAAGGCTAGCAGTTGTCTCCAGGCATTACAACAAAATGCACCCCCCACACACACACATTATCAAAGTCCTCCTGCCTCTTACCCCTCACTCTGGGAGGATGAGAGCTGCCCAATGGAGAACCATTTGAAAGAAACGAGTTTCCCAGTATTTCCCACTCCATCAGATGAAGCTGCCACTCCCACAATGCGTCTTCATATCCAGTTCAGGGGGTGCAGGATGCAGCCAAGGAAAACATCACAGGTGGCATTGGTGTGCTAGACAACCTCCTGAATCTGGTAACGGTCAGTTGACAGTGACAGACTCATGTCAGGAGAAAAACAAGTGAGTATACAGAAAAAGAAAAAAAAGGGGGGGAAGCCCACCATGGCCCCCATCTCCACCCCAAGTCTTGCAATCTAAGCCTGGCCCCTTCAATACCTGGTGCGTATTCCCCCACTTCCAACCCCAGCCAGTGAAGGAACACTGCCCCCAGCTGTCTCTCTCTTCCCTCAGCTGGGATGAGGGACTTCATTTCCTTGTGCTGCCATAGCAACCAGGAAACAACCTCTGCTCACAATGAGAAGGATGGTGCTGGGGCCCAGACCGGTAGATGCACACAGCTGCTAACAGAGCAACCAGGGGCTCGGCAGAAAGGAGAGAGAGGGGTGGTCGTCCGGAGAGTAGATAATCCAGGACTGGAGGTGTCTGAGCATGTAGTTTGTTTTTTCACTCCACAAAGATGCACACTGTCTACACTGTGTGGCTAGTTGTTCATTGTTAGTAAGAAGCTGCTGTAAGAAAGGAGGGAAAAATCTATTTCATAAAAGGCCCAGTGTTCGTGGTTTCCTTCAGCTTGCTGCTGAGCTGCAGAAATCTTGGGGTGTGACCCGTTTTTGAGCCTTCAAAACCAAGATGAACTGCCCTTGAGAGGCGGTAGGAGAGGGAAAACATGTTGAACCTCTCTCTCCTGAGCCGAGGCCATGGGAAGTTGGTCCAGAGCAAACAGAAGTTGGAAGTCTATTTTGAACCAGAGGTGAGTCTTACAGCTTAAAAAAAAAAGGGGGGGGTGGGTAGGGAGAAGCTCTGTCCTTTTACTTGGGAGTGAACTACTTGGGTGTGATTTGGGTGTGTTGGCAGTAAGGTAGGGTGATGGTGGGCATCACCGGCAGATCTTCCTACTTTTATGAAACTCAGGAAAGTGATGTTGTTTGCCTGACACCCCAGGATAACCATCGGGCTCTTCCTTTCCCTTGCACACTGGCTCTTAAGCTCCTTTACTTGATTCTGAAGGAGAATCCAAATTGTCTGGAATTCGGACTGGTTTAAGACCAGAATTCCCATCTGGTCTCTAGGCAAAGCAAAGGTGGTTTGAGGTTTAGAAAGCGTGCTCTGCGGCTGAAATGCTGGGTGTGCTCAGGCCATTTCAGTGGCTTCCTTGAACTTTCTGGAATTCAACCCACAGGATTCATATTTACTATAAGCCAAAGGGGGGGGGGAGATTTTAAAGAGGTGGCAAAATTTCCTTATTGCCCTGGAATCTTATTTCTTGAATCCTGCTAGGAATAAGAAATCCATTTAAGATACTTTGCAAATTTGAGTCAAACAGAGATTTCCATTGTCAGGGCAGTTTGTCCTGATGTTTGACCTTTAACCATGTTAAAAGACATATAAAATTTCAAAGGACCACTATGGCCAATGGCATTTACTTACTGAGATATATTACCACTTTATAGGCTCCTAAAGAACCAAATTAGGTAATGTTATACAGCATCTGGAATGTATAGGAATTCTCTCAGATGAAGAAGTAGTAGGTCTGGATGATTTTCTCCTAGTTAAACTCCCAATGAGTGCAGGTCTGATTTCAAAGTTATCTGTTGCCCTTGATAATTCTGACTACTTACTTGCATACCAGGAAACTTTAACTGGCTTGTAACCTGTACTCCACCCTACTTAAGCCTCCAGACATGAATAGTTCTCTTAAAAGGTGTATGGAATAAAACAGAATGATTGCCTAGGTTCTAATTAATCTTAAGATGTGAGGAGAAGAGTAATTATGTTCCATAATTCCATACAAACAATTCAGAGAAAAATCAGAACTGAAAACTAATGTTAAACACTTTGTACAGTATTCGCTCTAGAAGGTACAGATCAAGACAGCTTCTTCCCACTGCAGGACTACTTGAACTGGAAGTCCCCAGAAGACTACATCCTGGTCAGCAAACCTCAGGATGATGGCAATGCTGACCAGCACTGCTGGAGCCTCTTTCTTCCCAAGACATTCAGCACGAGGAAGGGGGCTCTGATCCTCTATTCAGAAGGCTTAGCTATTTCAGCATGGCCAACCCAAGAGAGAAGAGGGCCCTACCGCCCCAAAAGTCACAGGAAGAGGCTAAATCTTGAACTGCACACACTTCAAGACCTCAAAAAAGCCATCTTGGCATACGGACAAAAACAGGTAAGCCAAGCAGTTTGGAGAAGAGATTGTGTACCTGTAAGTCTAGTTCCAGCTTCTTGTTCCCTAAAGAAGGTATGAATTGCCAGGCTCATGCTTATAATCCTAGCTACTCAGGAGGCTGAGATCTGAGGATCATGGTTCAAAGCCATCCCAGGCAGGAAAGCCCATGAGACTTTTATCTCCAATTAACCACCAGAAAATCAGAAGTGGTATTGTGGCTCAAAGTGGTAGAGCGCTAGACCTGAGCAAAAAGAGCTCAGGGACAGCACCCAGATCCTGAGTTCAAGTCTCATGGTTGACAAGAAAAAAAGAAAAGAAAAAAGAGAATGTATGAACCACTCAGACCCTCATTTCTTCATTTCTAGGATGGAATTATACCATTAGGCAGACCTGCCACCACAATCACCATGAGACTTCTGTAGATAATACACAGAAAAGGACTCTGAACCCATAAAGAGCTCTGGTATCAGTATTTTGTCTTTTTAGTTCCTTTCAATTCTAGTAACACAAGTCCTTTTCAGCGTTCAGACAGCTCCAAGCTGGCAGACACTTCATCAGAATCTTGAATTCTGACCCCTAGCCACAAGCATCACCCTCCTACCCCTGATGTCCGTGGCTTTGTGGAAAGGAGACCATTTTAAATATTTACTTGAGCCCTTCAGCATCTTCAAGATAAGTTAATGACTTTTTCCACACTGCATTTAAAATTAAGAGAAAGTCCCTGTGCTCCTTCTCTGATTTATACCTTCTAACATTTTGTAAGACGCGCACATGGCCTCTGCTTTATAGACTACACACAGCAGCCCATTAGCTGAGGCCAGAGGACACAGTCTATTACGTGACACTTTATGGAATTCTAGGTTAGAGATAGTGAGTACTCCATAGTTTCTATAAGTTTCTCCTGATCAATAAAGCCTTAGCTTCTGAACCCTGACCCTTCTCACATTGGCCTTCTTTCCCATGTCTGGCCACATCTGCCACTTGTTCTTATTTCTGCCTCAACCATGGGCTAGTCAAGGCCCCACCAGTGACAGCCCCTTTTATGACTACACTTTCACACATGCCTCTACAGCTAACTAATTCTACAACTCAAATTCATCTCCTGCTAGGCAATGGTGGTTCCCTGTGATCCTAGCTATTCAGGAGGCTGAGGTTTGAAGATCGTCATTTAAAGCCACTTGGGGCAGGAAAGTTTCATGAGACTCTTATCTGGCTCAAAGTGGTAGAGCACTAGCCTTGAGCAAAAGAGCTCAGGGACAGCACCCAGGCCTGGAGTTCAAATCTCATTTCCAACAACAACAAAATCATCTCCTCACTAAAGGCATCTCCTTCTCTCCTAAGTAGATGTACCTCATGGATTCATCCTTTGTAAACATTCCCATTCTATTATGTATTGAGATTTAATCTCTTTGACCATCAGCCAACACTGATCTCTAGGGAAGGGGTTATGTTGAAATTGTTTCCTTAAATGTTTGTGGAATGAATAATTTGGTCATGCATGATGTTTTCAAGGTTTCTTAGACATTCTGTCATTATCATTATTGGACAATCCATCACCCACCTCCACCCTGGGTAAAACTTCCAAAAGAAAAACTTCTCAACCTTCTTCCCCTCTTTCAAAATAGAGAGGTTTATTGTCCTTGACCAAATGCCCAATTAGGGGTGGGAATGTGGCTTAGTGGTAGAGTGCTTTGCCTAGCATGCATGAAGAAGCCCTGGGTTCTATTCCTTATTACCACATAAGCAGAAAAAGCCAGATGTGGTGTTGTGGCTCAAGTGGAAGAGTGCTAACTTTGAGCAAAAGAAGCTCAGGGACAGTATCCAGGCCCTGAGTTCAAGCCCCAGGACTGGTTAAAAAAAAAAAGCCCAATTAGTCTGTCTTGAAATCAAAATCCTTGAGTGAAATGGATATCAAACATTTGCTGTTACTTTATGGCTACTGTTCTGTTTATTCCTTGCAATGGCCTTATGAGATGTGGTTTTTCATAGAACCTTCCTTTATTTGTTTTGTTTTGTTCAGACAGGACCTCACTCTGTAGCCCAGTCTGGTCTCAAACTTGTGATCTTACCGTCTCAGTGTCCTGAGTGCTAGGATTTAGGCATGATGCAACACACTGGCCTACTTTCATAGAAGAAGAAACGAGGGGCTGGGAAGGTGGCTCAGTGGTAGAGCGCTTGCCTTGCATGCATGAGACCCTGGGTTCGATTCCTCAGCACCACATAAGCAAAAAGAAAAAAGCCGGAAGTGGCACTGTGGCTCAAGTGGTAGAGCACTAGCTTTGAGCTGAAGAGCTGAGGGACAGCGCCCAGGCCCAGAGTTCAGACCCCACGACCGGACCCAAAACAAACAAACAAACAAAGAAGAAGAAATGAAAGTTCAAAGGAACTGTGTAACTTGCCCAAGGAAGAGAGTCTTGTAAATGAGAGCCAGGATTCAAACCTGGGACTACCTATCTCTCCATCACCAATACCATATTAGAGTACTTTCTTAGCAAATTTGTGATGTAAATTCAGCTTACCAATAACCATGATGTCTTCCTCAGGGTCAATATTTCTTTGTCCACATAAACTAGGAAAAATGTAAAAAGAAAAAAAAATCTATATTCTAAGTAAAGAGCTAAAATGGAGACCGCAAAACCCACATAACTCAGCCCCATTCAGACTTGGGAGAATCTAGACTGTTCTAAAGGAGTACGATTCCATGTTTAAAGCATCTTCCAGAATCTCCAGTTCTATGCCTGAGTCTGGTGACACAATATGGTTCTATCTTTGGAATTTATACTCTGTATATTGTCCCATGGCTTCACTTCCTAAGGTGCAAAGTCAAACTAAGAGATTCCATGTCAGATTTCTCAGACTTCTAGATACATAGAAACATGTCCTTATTTGCTACTTTGTCTGTTTGTTGTATTTAAACCAAGGAAATTTTGTTCAGCCTTCCTAAAGTTAAAACTACTCTTCTTGAAGTCTCTTTTTTTAAAAAAAAAATTATTTTTTTATTTTTTGTGAGCATACTGTACAGAGGGGTTACAATTACATGGGCAAGATAATGAGTACATTTCTTATCAAGTATTGCAGCCTCCTCCTTTGTTTGCCCTTCCCAGCCTCCCCCCGCCCCCCCACCCAATCCTCACCCCCCCTACCCCCCTGACCAAAGTTGTAAAGTTCGTTTTCGACATGACAACTTGTACTTCTCATTGTTGCAACGGGTCCACCTGTATCCTTAAACTACTTGTTTTTCCCCCTCCCCTCTACAAATTATACCAACATCAAATATAGTGAAAGCAGGGGTTATACTGTGGGGGAGGGACTTGAGGTCTCTTCTTTTATTCAGCTTCTCCATGGTTGGAAATGAGATAGCTATAAAAGCTGGGCGCCAATGGCTCACGCCTGTAATCCTAGCTTACTCAGGAGGCTGAGATCTGAGGATCCCAGTTCAAAGCCAGCCCGGGCACAAAAGTCCATGAGACTCTTATCTCCAATAAAGCACTAGAAAACCAGAAATGGTGCTGTGGCTCAAGGGGTAGAGCGCTTGCCTTGAGCTGAAGAGCGCAGGGACAGCACCCAAGCCCAGAGTTCAAGCCCCACGGCCGACCAAAACAACAACAACAACAACAACAAAGATAGCTATAAAGCCTAGATAATTATAACTTGTGATTTTTTTTTAACTATCATCAAAATCATGCTCTTTTAGTATAGCAGAATTCCATAGTGTCTTTCAAGTCATTGTTGCAAAATATTAAGCAATTTCCAAATTGTTTTGGTATATTCCTATAAATATACTCTTTACATTTTTAGAATTTTGTAAGTCTGGTGATAGTTTTCATATGCTTGTCTTTTTGAAGCATTTTAATTATATGTTCACATAATTAAATTATTAAAAATGTTCTTGTATGGAAAAATATAAAGGTTTACATGCTGTAACTCTGAGGGACAATACTTATAGTTAATTTTGAAAATATTTAAATGTCTGTCTTAGTCCACTTTCCACTGTTGTAACTGAATATAACAGATAGGGTGGTGTACAAAAAGCAGAGGTCCTAAAGGGCTCAAGGGCATGTTACTGGCATCTGCTCCACATCTGCCCAGCGTCTTCTTGCTGCATTATAACATGACAGACAATATACGTAGCAAGCCAGAGCAATGAGCAAGCTTATTATTAAGTCACTAATGTCATCAGGGGCAGCACCCTCATCTTCATCTAATTTTAATAACCTCACAAAGGCCCATCTCCTAAAATAATATCAATAATCAATGACTCCTTACTTAGTGGTTATGTGGCATTTTAATGGTTTTTACCAAACTTGTCCAATATGTGAAATTTTATAGGACATTTTACAGGTGAAATTTATAGAAATTGTCATGGCAATGTCCAACCATGGGACTTTAAGTACTATATTAAAATTATCTGTCTTAAAATTAAATTCCAAGGACATGTCATTTCTCTATTTCACTGAAAGACATAGTTGGCTTAGACAACCATAGAAGATTTCAACCAATTTCCCTTATAAATGTGGCCACATTTAAAAGCATTGTCAGCCTTGTTCTACTGAATAGCTCTATATTGTTTCTATACTGTCTAGTTTCTCCCCACATCCTAATACTCACAGTACTTAATTATTCAGTTATGTTTAGCCAGTGTCTAACCTTTGAAGGAATTTTCAGCTTACCCTTCTATCAAGTAAGGAAATAGTGTGAGAAATACCTATTCAAATCATTCATTTTTCCTACTTTAACCTACAAAGACTAACCATCAAGTAGGAAATTTTTTAAAAAGATAATAAATTACCTTTTATTCTTTTAGCAAAACATCAGGAGGATGGAAGCTTCCTTTACCAATCATGTTATTTGTTTGGTTGGGTCCCTAAGAAGTAAAATGTTACTTGGTATTTTGTTTTGTTTTGTTTTGCTTGTGCCCATACGGGGGCATAAACTCAGCCTGGGCACTGTCCCTTAGCTTTTCCACTCAAGGATGGTACTCTCCAACTTGAGCCATAGCT